ATAGAGAAGTAGAGTGGCTGGGTTGAATGGTAGCTGTATAATTTTTTTTTTTTTTTTTTTTTTTTGCTGTACGCAGGCCTCTCACTGTTGTGGCCTCTCCCGTTGCGGAGCACAGGCTCTGGACGCGCAGGCTCAGCGGCCATGGCTCACGGGCCCAGCCGCTCCGCGGCATGTGGGATCTTCCTGGACCGGGGCACGAACCCGTGTCCCCTGCATCGGCAGGCGGACCCTCAACCACTGCGCCACCAGGGAAGCCCTGTATAATTTTTTAAGAAAACTGTTTCCCAATGTGATTATACCATTTTACATTCCTACCAGCAGAGTCTAGCTGTTCCACATTTTTGTCTGTACTTGGTATGCTCAGTCTTTTTCATGTTTGCCATTCTAGTGGAAACATAGTGGCACATGACTTTGGTTTAGTTTCCCTAATGGCTAATGATGTTGATCACCTTTTCATGTGTTTCTTGTCCGTTTCTGAGAGTTATTTTGTGAAGTGTCTGTTCACATCTCTTATCAATTTCCTCACTAAGTTGTTTGTCTTACTATTTACTTTTAGGTTGCAAGAGTTCTTTATATATTCTGAGTACAGTTCCTTTGTCTGATGTATGTGTTGCAAATGTTTTCTCCCAGTCTATGGCTTGCCTTTTTGTTTTCTTAAGGAGATAACATTTCACTTTGATGAAGCCCAATTTACTGTTCTCTCTCTTTTTTAAAAAATAAATCATGCTTTTTTGTGTCCTAAGAAATTGTTGCCTAGCCCGAGGGTCACGAAGATATTCTTGTTAGAATTTTTTTGTGTAAAACTATATGGTTTTAAATTTAGGCCAAATTTAAATTTTGATCCATTTTGAATTAATTTTTGTGTATTTTGTGAAGTAGGATCGGTGTTCCCCCCTCCCGCCTCCACCACCTCCCCATATCTAGTTGATCTACTTCAGTTTGTTGAAAAGACTTTTTTCCTCCAGTGATTTGCCATTGCCAAAAATGAATTCACCAAACATGTGTAAATCTATTTCTCAATGCTTTGTTCTATTGATCTGGTATGTCTGCCTTTACATCAGTCCCAAAAGGCCTTGGTTATTACATTGCTTTTTTAGTAAATCTTGAAATCAGGTAGAATAAATTCTCCAATTTTGTTCTTTTTAGAAATTGCTGTGGTTATTCTAGGTCCTTTGCATTTGCAAGCAAATGTCAATATCAGCCTGCCAATTTCTACTCAAAAGCCTGCTGCAGTTCTAATTGGGATTGCATTGAATATATAGATCCATTTGGCGGGAATTGCCATTTTAGCAATATTGAATCTTTCTATTAACATAGTATATCTCTCCATTTATTTAGGTCTTCTTTAATTATTTTTTAAGCAATATTTCATAGTTTTCAGCATAGAGACCTTGGCCTTGGATGTCTTTTGTTAAATTTATACCTAGGACTTTTACATTTTTTTGACACTGCTATAAGAGGGATTGTTTGTCTTCATTCAATTGCCAATTATTGTTCATATATAAGAATTCAGTTGATATCAACGTTTCATCCTGTGATATTGCCAAATTCACTTATTGTACTATTTTGTAGATTTCTTGGGGTTTTCTATGTAAACAATTATATCATCTGTAAATAGAGTTTTATAGATTTTTTTAAAATCTTTGTCTTTTTTTTTTTTTTTTTTTGGTCTGTTTGTTTTTCTTACCTTATTTCAGGGCTAGAACCTTCAAAACAATGTTGAATAGAAGTGGTAAAAGTAGGTATCCTTGCCTTCTTCCTGATCTCTGGGGGGAGAAATTTAGTCTTTAACCTTTAACTATGATGCTAGCTATAGCTTTTTCATAGATGCCCTGTATCTGTTTGAGGAAGTTTCCTACTAATCTTAGATTCCTGAGAGTTTTTATCATCCCTAGGTGTTGAGGTTTTGTCAAGGCTTTTTTTCCCACATTTATGGAAAAACGATTATATGAGCTTTTTGGTTTATTCTGTTAATATGGTTGATTACATTAATTTATTTTCAAATGTTAAATTAACCTTGACTTCTGCATAAACCCTTGGTTATGTTTTTGCCAATGTATATCCTTTGGTATATATTTTTGAGTTTCAGCTTTGAATTCTTCTTTGGTGAAGAATTTTTGCATGTTCTTTACAGTCTTGTTCTGTAATTTTGGGGGGATACAGCTCAAAAGACGTATGACTTGTCAATTTCAAGGACATTATGAAGATTAAGTGAGGTGGAAAACTAAAATTTTTTGGAAAATTATCAAGCTTACCTACATAATATATTGACTGAGAAATAGTGGAAGAACAGAATAGCAGCTGTAGTTTTTAAAGGGAATTGGCAGTGAGAAGTGGCCTGCTTCATCACTGGACTCACAGACTTTCAGTTCATTGTGGTGGCTTGACCACATGTGTTTTCTCTTCTCCTTCCCTGATGTCTGCCATAATCACATAGGCAGCTAAAAGATGTAAACTCCTAAGGAAAAAGATAACAGTAGAGAAGATAGTGACAGAAGATTTTTTTTTTAATATAAATGTATGTATGTATTTATTTATTGGCTGTGTTGGGTCTTTGTTGCTGCGTGCGGGCTTTCTCTAGTAGCGAGCAGTGGCTACTCTTCATTGTGGTACACGGGCTTCTCATTGCAGTGGCTTCTCTTATTTCGGAGCGCAGGCTCTAAGCGCGTGGGATTCCGTAGTTGTGGCACACGGGGTCAGTAGTTGTGGCTCGCAAGCTCTAGAGCTCAGGCTCAGTAGTTGTGGCGCAGGGGCTTACTTGCTCCGTGGCATGTGGGATCTTCCCAGACCAGGGCTTGAACCCGTGTCCACTGCATTGGCTGGCAGATTCTTAACCACTGCACCATCAAGGAAGTCCCCAGTGACAAAAGATTTTGACAATTTTTTGTAAAGAGAAACATAACTTTGGAAAGGAGTGTTAATTTGAGTTCAGAGGTAGATAAACAGTGCCTACAAATAAAGATGAGGTCAAGCAGCTTGTCCCAGGCCCAGAGTACTTGGAGGCTCCTGGCATTCCTAGGTCAGTTTTGCAGCTGAAAATCGAAATTCTTCAACAGTCTGTGTTTCAGACATTTTGAACCATTCTCTCCTGCACCCCAGCAGACAGGTGATTACGTCAGCCCCCTTCCTCTGGGGAGATGTGAAGAGCACTAGGCCAGAGATGCTCCAGACTAGAAGGGTGAAACATGGGGTTGAAAATAAAGGGATTGTATACAAGTCCACCCACTGAAGTTAGGCCCCTCACTTCTTTCTCCCTTCTCCACTCCTCCCCAGAAGCCAGCTGGAATACCACATCTAGCTGAATATAGCTTCAATAGAAAAAAATCTGACATTTGGAGATCTCCCAGTGAACAGGTGACGAGATATATCTGATCATCATAGGGAGAAGCCCATCAATTAATAAACCTGCCACCCATGCCCAGCTTCTGAGCATTGTTTTAGTGCCTCCATCTTAAATATGAAGGTACATCCAAGGATCACCAGATATATGAGCAAAGCCTCAAAAGTGAAAGAGAATGACCCTAAATGAACTATCAGTGAGCAAACAAAAAAGGAATCAAATGATGCAAGAAACAGAAGAAAACTAAAGAGTAAAATGAAAACAAAAAATCAGAAGAATAAAAGAAGTTGTGTCCATTTAAAAAAGAGATGGAGGAGAACACTAGGAATAAATAGTTGAGAACAAGATAGAGCTTTTGGAATTTTAAAATTCCATGGACAGGGCTTCCCTGGTGGCGCAGTGGTTGAGAGTCCGCCTGCCGATGCAGGGGACACGGGTTCGTGCCCCGGTCCTGGAAGATCCCACATGCCGCGGAGCAGCTGGGCCCGTGAGCCATGGCCGCTGAGCCTGCGCGTCCGGAGCCTGTGCTCTGCAATGGGAGAGGCCACGACAGTGAGAGGCACGCGTACCGCAAAACAAAAACAAACAAACAAACAAACAAAAATTCCATGGACAGATGAAATTGAGTATTAGGGCAAAGGGACTCTCACTTTTTAATTCTAAATTTATCTAATTTTTTTCTGTTACTATTTAGTATTCATTTTTAACTGTGTGCATTTACCATGTTGTTTAGTTAAGCATAAGGAAAATATTAAGTTTGGATTTTTTCAGTTGGGGAAGAGGACTGGCTTGGTTTCACGTTGACTGTTCATGAGCAAATAATGCCTGATGGGGATATTTGAGCCTGGGTTTGTGTTTGGTATTCTGGGCAGACATTAGTGTGCATTTTATTTAATATGCATTTTAAAACAGCAATCGCAGACAATGTTTTTCATAAAAGCAGCACAGGCTGTGGAGTTTGCTTCCCCTGCTCAAATCCAGCTTGGTCACCAAATGTGTGATGTTGTTCTAATCTTCGCCTCTCTGATTCTCATTTTCTTCGTGTATAGTATGGAATGGTAATATAGTACCTATGTCATAGGGCTGTGATACTACGGAAAGAGTTAAGGGACTTCCCTGGAGGTCCAGTGGTTAAGACTCAGCACTTCCACTGCAAGGGCACAGGTTTGATCCCTGGTCAGGAAACTATTGCGCATGATGCACAGTGCAGCCAAAAAAACCCCCAAAAACGGAGAGATAAGACAGTGTGCAGCATGTACTAAGTGCTCATTAAAAAGAGCAGTTGTTGTAACCATGAAGCAGATGGAGTAGTATATGTAGATGGTTAGGAAAAAGATATATTTAAAAAATAACAAATACAACAATACAAATAATGAGATAATAGGCTGTCCCGAGCTAATAGTATCACTCCCCAGACTGAAAGCTTCTTGTTGCTGGAGAGTCTTTCGTTCACATTCCTCAATGCCCATCATTGTACCTGGGACTGAGAAACTGCGCAGAGAAGGAATGAATGAATGAACCCTTAGTTGTAACATTCATTTGCAGTGCTATCCCCTAACTCTAGTATCAGTCTTCAGGTCATTAAGACAGCATGTTAGTGTGTTTATAAGTACCTAGGAGTGAAGTTTTCATAAACTTAAATGTTGCATTTCAATTACAGGCGTCCATTAGCAAGGTGAAAGTAACAGAAACATGGCTCAGTTTCCAACACCTTTTGGTGGTAAGTTTTCAAATATTTTCCTTTTTTAATGTACTTTGGAATCGCACTTTTAAAAACTTAGTATTATGGCAAATTTCAAATATTCACGTAAGTAGAGGGAATAATATAATCAACCCATCATATAGTTTCAGTGATTATCAATCAACTAATGGCCAATATAGTTTCACCTGGATTCTTTTGAGCACCTCTCATACATCAGATCATTTCATTCACAAACATTTTAGTGGGTGTTTCTAAAAGATAACACTTTTAAAGATATAACTACAATACTGTTACCACTCCTGTAAAGTTTCTAGTAATTCCTTAATGTCTTCAACTATCAAGTCAGTGTTAAAATTTTCCCTGATAGTCTTTAGATATTTTTCGTTGTTGTTGTTATGGTTGGTTGGTTCAAATCAGGATCCGAACAAGACACACACATTACAATTAGTTCATGTGTTTCCTAAGTTGCTTTGTTAGTGAACCCTTCTCCATCCCTGTTTTTTTGGTTTTTTGTTTTGCAGTTTATTTGTTGAGGTGACTGGGTCATTTATTCTGTACTTTTTCTTTAGACTGGATTTAAAGCATGACATTTTTGTTTTACTTTAGTTAATCTGCTTGAAACATCAATCTGCATAAGATGTGTTTTTCAGGTAATTTCCCCTAAGATTATTAGGAAAGTGTTAAATGTTGGTTTTGCTTACTGGCCAAGTTTTGTTTTGTTTTAAAGAGAGCATGCCATATGACTGAATTTCTCTTGGCAGCTGTCAAACCTAGCCACCGTGAAGAGAGTAAGGCAGCATAAAGCCCCATCCCTGGGATTACATCTGTAAAAGTCTCTGTGAGCTTCTAGTACAGAAGTCTGCAACCTTTTCAGAACCATTAGTCTTACTGTTTTATTTTCTGTTTTGTTTTTGTCCCCCTTCTTAGTTACTGAGCAAGTTTTTTGTTTGTTCTGTTTTGCTTGTTTGGTGGGGTTTGTTTCTGTTTGACAAATTTTGACAGGGCAATAGAAGTTGCAGGACTGTAAGGCCTGTGAGGGTAGGGATCTGATCTATTTCGGTCACCATCTTATCCCTAGTGTCTAACACAGTGTGTGGCACATAGGAGGTGTTCAACAAGTCTGTTTTCAGTGACTGAATGAATTGCTGCTCTGCCTGTCGCTGTCATATCAGACCCTGCAGAGAAGGGAGATTTCAGTGTTTAGGCATTTTGCTTGTATGCTAGGCACCTTCACATACTGTCTGTTCCCACCTTTTGGGAAAATGTCTGAACTTTTGAAAACCTTCTACCTGTGTAATCTAGAGTTATTTGGTGAATTTGTTTGAGAAAACCTAACACTAAAGTGAGGAAAATCCCAGAAACAAGGGGATATCTGGTCAGTCCAAGAACTGAAACTGAAGGACTTAAACCCTGTTCCCTCTGGTTTGCCATTGTTTTTTTCAGGATACCCATTTTTAAAAACAGCTTCAGTGAGTTATAATCTACATGCCATAAAATTCACTACAATCTAGTATTTGAATATTTTTATCACTCCAAAAAAATTTTCATGGAATCACATAGGATACTAATTTAGTGAAGCTCAATTTTTCCATAACTTTCACTTGTGGCATTTAAGATATCTGAAAATACTGTTTTAAATTAGACTATTGATTTGTAAATCAGTCTGTTTATGTAAATAAATGATGATTATTAACATGTCTTCATACAGTCCTGCTAACTACAGGGTTATAGGACAAGTTTTTAAAAAAAGAGTTTGTGCTAATATCTTTTATTTTTTTTGGCCTGCTTTACTCTTAATTTTCTTTTTTTTCCCCTTTCTTTAAAAAATTTTTATTGGCATATAGTTGATTTACAATGTTGTGTTAGTTTCTGTTGTACAGCAAAGTGAATCAGTTATACATATACATATGTCCACTCTTTTTTAGATTCTTCTCCATATAGGTCATTACAGAGTATTGAGAAGAGTTCCCTGTGCTATACAGTAGGTCCTTATTAGTTGTCTGTTTTAAATATAGTGGTGTGTATATGTCTACTCTTAGCTTTCTAACTTTATATTCAAAACTTCCAAGGACAAACAGATGTTAACTTATCAAATCATTTATAACATACCGACAGTATCTTAAGGTACTATGGAAACTGTGCGTGTGAGCACTTTGTTTTTATTTTCTCATTGAATAATTTCTTTGTCTTTTCTTTGGATTGTAGGTAGCCTGGATATTTGGGCCATAACTGTAGAGGAAAGAGCAAAGCATGATCAACAGTTCCATAGTTTAAAGCCAATATCTGGATTTATTACTGGTAATTGGAGTCAGTATTTTTACATTTTTACTTATCATAGTGCATATATCTGTGGAAAATCTATTATGCAGAGCGAAGGTGGGCACATGTGATCTAGGGTACACTTTGCCTATTTTGCCTTAACCTGGAGTCTGTATTTTTACAGTTGCTTCTCTTCCAATGCACTCAAGTCTTTTTTACAGTTTTTAATGAATGCCAAGTCACTGTTTTAGGCATATCACTATTGGGAATTGTTTAAGATTAATGGACCACATTCTTTAAGTAATTGTAGCATTGGACTGTGGTCCTTGAGCAAAAACACTTCCTTAATTCTGATCTTGAACTGGCTTGAGTAAATTAACAGATTATGAACATTAAAAAAATTTTTTCTTATTGCTATGTCCTTAAGGTCCTTTTGTACTTTGCGTTTTCTAATCTCTTTCCTGTTTGATTACTCTTCAGGAATTAGCTTTAGAAAAAATGGGATCTAGATTTCCTGGGAACTTGCTTTTGTGTGTATTTGTTTCACTTCTCTTTAACTTACTAATTCTTAGTCCTCGATGTGATTCTTTTAATCATTGTTACTAACTCTCCATAAATATGTTAGAAGTACCAAAAATCTGAAGTGTAGGTAAATGAGAATGGCAAAGAACTCTTTTGTAAAGTAGAAGTATGGGTCATCAGTTTCTTGAGGATTTCTGTAGGTTCACTTTGTTGTAATGTGTAGCTGTTACCATCTTAATTACTAGCAGATTAATTAAAGTGGACAATCTACCCCTACACAATGGTAGGCCCTTTTTGAGATGATTTTTTTTTTAAGTGTTACATTCTAAAGTCAGTGCTGATGGATTCATTTTATTGTTATTTATAAACTTATCATTTGGCTTTTAAAATGTATTCAGTTCAGTATTTACAGGATTATTAACCTCTTTCTTTTTGTAGTTTTGCCATAAGTGGTTTTCTGTCAGCTGCTGTTTTCTTCTAAAACTTTTTCCATTTCATTTACAGGTGATCAAGCTAGAAACTTTTTTTTTCAATCTGGGTTACCTCAACCTGTTTTAGCACAGATATGGTAAGTTGGAACTTCATACAAGCAGAAGGTTATAAACTAGTCCAGTAATATCTAATCTTAATTTCTTAAGTTACAGAGGAGAACAGGTATTTCTAGTCTAAAATACCCCACTACTTCTTACCAGAGAAGTACTTCTGAAAAGTGTCTTTCTGGTATGGAACTTTAAAAAAAAAAAAAAAAAGTGGTGACATTTGCAAGATAACTGTTACAAAGTTGAATTTCCAGTTGAGAAATCTACATTTTGATATTTTCTCACCACTTTGGTTTTTTTGTTTGTTTGTTTTCTGGGGTTTTTTTGGCCACATCATGCTGGAGTGTGGGATCTTAGTTCCCTACCAGGGATTGAACCCATGCCCCCTGCATTGAGAGCACAGAGTCTTAACAACTGGACTGCCAGGGAAGTCCCTTTCTCACCACTTTGTTTTACCTTCATCCACATCACCCATATTCATCTAAATGGTCCACATTTCCTGCTTTATAATGTGATAGTTCTGTATCTTTCATTGAATAAAAGGTAAAGAAGATATTTGAGGTTAATAATGGAATAACCAGTGAAAGAGTGAAATAACCAGTATTCATTACAGTGTTGTGCAAGGTGAGCACATAAAAAATATTGTTGAATCTCTTGATTAACTAGCACAAATAAGTGTTCAGTCTTTTGAAACCACAGGAAAGAAAGAGAATGAATGAAAAAGACTGGCAAATACAGTTTTGGGTTCTAGGTTTATGACTTTGGGAAGCCATGCTGAATTCTTTGGCCAAGAAGCCACGTTTTCCTGCAGTGTATGGTTCTTACAGTTAGTACATCATTTCCCTGGGTTCGTTAGTGTTGTGGTGGGCAGCTTGTTATGGTGAAAAGAACACATGATTTGTAGTTGAATCCCATCTGTACTACTTTCTATCTTTCTGATTTGGAACATGTACTTACCCACCCCCAGCCTCAGTTTTCACATCTAGAAAATGGGAAGACACTTGTTTCCTTACAGTGTTATTGAGTGGATTAGCAGAGAAACTGTATGTAAAGGACTTAGTGTGGGCCCTGGCACATAATAGAGCCTCAAAACAAAACCCCAGAAAGGTACTGAGCTGGCCAAAAATGTTCGTTCGGGTTTTTCTGTAAGATGTTACGGAACGCAAAAATAAAGATTGACATAGTTCCTTGTTGCCTTTAAGCAGAGTCTACAGAACATAGTCTAAGCTTGATTATAAGTGTTGTCAGTATGAAAATCATTTACTATGTTCTGAAATAGCAAAACTTTCATGGGAAATTATATATTATTTGTGTGTGGATTTATTTGAATTGAAATTAAATGATATCAGATTCCTGTGCTTTTTTTGGTGTCTGCTTTATTTTCTTTTTCCTGGTTGTCAGCATATGGGCTGCCAGACTGTCTCTTTCAACTATGATACCCTTTTAGTGCTAATGTCTCATCTACTTTGAAGTAGAAAATTCAGATAACCAAGGTTTTTGGAATTACTTTTATTATTTTTTTAAATTAATTAATTACTTTTTGGCTGCGTTGGGTCTTCGTTGCTGCGGACAGGCTTTCTCTAGCTGTGGTGAGTGGGGGCTACTCTTCGATGCAGTGCACAGGCTTCTCATTGCAGTGGCTTCTCTTGTTGCGGAGCACGGGCTCTAGGCGCACAGGCTTCAGTAGTTGTGGCACGCGGGCTCAGTAGTTGTGGCGCACAGGCTTAGTTGCTCCACGGAATGTGGGATCTTCCTGGACCAAGGATCAAACCCATGTCCCCTGCATTGGCAGGTGGCTTCTTAACCACTGTGCCACCAGGGGAGTCCCTGGAATTACTTTTAAAGTAAAGTAAAAGACACACACACACACACACACACACACACACACACACAGAAGGAACACTCATGTACTTCTGAGCACAGGGACACTGACCTGTTGGTTAAGTGCCTAAGTCTAAATGCAAGAAACTTGTGACATCTGTGTTAAATTTCTTTTTGCTTTGTGTTCTGCTGTGTGATTGTTTTTCACACCATCAGCCAAGATCACTCACTAGAATCTTCCTTTCCCAGACTTAGCTTCCTTCACTGAATTCTGCTTTTATACTGTATTTCCAATCTATGAAGGTTCATTCAAGAAGCAGTCTTGTAATGAATACTCTGCTGCAAGGAAATCTATAATAAATTAACATTTATTCATTCAACAGTGGAAGAATATTTATCAGATGTCTACTATGGGCCTGTGCCTGTTGTAGGTGCTGGGAATACAGCTGTGAACAAAACTGACAAAATTTGTGCTTTCATCGAAATTGCAATCCAGTGGAAGGAGATGGTCAATAACAGCATAAAAACTGTCACATGTTAATAAGTGTAATGGAGAAAAATAAAGTATTATTTAGTAAATTTCAGTTCTTTCAATTAAGACAGTTAATTTTTTGTTTGTTTTTTTGGGTTTTTTTGTTTGTTTTTTTTTTAACCAGAGTATACCAAAGTCATTTTTACCAACTTATTCTTTTCATTGTGAAAATTTTTTAACAGTGAATATAATGAGTCTGCAGACTTAGGTTAAATCAAAAGTGTTCTTTGTCTTTAATTTTTTTCTGACATTTTGTTAAATAAATTTGTGATGGCATATTTTACTTTCATCAAGAATTGATATCAGGGGAAAAAAAACAAAATGAAACACACCTCTAAGAATCTTTTCCCAAAAGCAATATCTCTGAAAAGTCGTTAGAAATTTCTCGAGCCACAGATGTCCTGCTAAGATGCTGGAATGGTGTGGTGCAGAGTGTGAGGAACATCTGTCTTTTGACACTAGCTCTGATGCTTCTTCACTTTGGAAGCTTGAGCAATACTTCACCTCTTCAAATTTCGGTTTATAAATTTATAAATAACAGCTGACCTAATGAAATAGTTTTCCCTCCCTATCTCTCATGCTAATCTTGTGTTCTCATGTGGTTTTTCTGATGGGATCACAGGGCAAGTCCAATGCCACTTTTGGTAGAGAGAGAAGTGGGTTTGAGTCTAAAATTTTAGGCAGTCCCTGTGTCATTCCTCTGGGGAAGAAGAAAATTTTGGATTGAGAATTAGGACCTTTTTCTAGTTTCTCTTTCTCTCTGGGCCTTACTTTCATTTGCTCTGGACCATTCAAAAGTGTGAGTGATGTGCACAGCTGGGAAATATCTGTTGGAATCCATGTAGAAATTATATTCCAGTTAATTAATTTATGAGCTTTGGAACGATAACCTACTAATACTTTGGAACTACCTATCTCTCCAACCCAGTTTCCAATTAAGAATACAGGAAAACTTGAATTCTCCCTCAGAATGGAGTCAAGTCAGTGTGTGTAATGCCAAATTATAACTGTGGCCAAAGATGATATATCTTCCTAGAAATTGTCTTGCTAATAAGGAACTGGAAGGAACAGGGCCAGTATCCTATATCCTTTTGGCAGCTTAAATGCTTAACATTGTTGCAACCTTGATCTGGTGTGGAGACAGAGAAGAAGAAAGCAGAGGGCAATGGACAAGAGCCTTGAAGGCGGAGGAAAGCAGAGGTGGAATGAGGACTTTGGAATCAGAGGCAGTAGGTAGGGGCCACAGAAATGGGGATTAGAAGCTCTTAAGGAGAGAAATGAGGGGAAGAGAGGCAGCACCACCTAGAAATGGGCCCCAAGAGGAGGAGGAAGCCAGAGGCATAAGGGCAGAAATTAGAACATCTTGGTGATCTGGCTCAAGGATGGGGCAGGGGGCAAGGCTAACGCCTGTGTGACGCCTTTGGATGCTATCTTAGGATACCACTGAGCATATGTCAGGAGGGCCTTCAGCTCCCAGCAAGATCAGTTTGCCAAAGTCATTTACCCCCAGAAAAAGTCATCCTGGACATTCCTGAGTCGTCACCATCTCAGTTCATGGCATTGAGCATCTACCCGGCTGCTGGAAGCCATGCCTGATTCCTCTCTTTTCCTTACCCTACGCAACCAATCCATCAGCAGGTACTTTTTGACTCCATTTACAGACTGTATCCCCAATCTGGCCATTTCTTTCTGTATCCTTTGCTACCATCCTAATTTGTCATAGTGGGCCTAATAGCTGGGCCCACTATTCGAGCATTCTGACTCCCGAGCATTCTGACTGGAGTCTCTCACACTTGCCCGTTTAGATTCCATTCTCCAAACAGCACCCCAACAATCTTTTGAAAAAGTAAATCCATTTAAAACTCTCCATTGATAAGAAAACCCAAAGTCATGACCAAGGCCACAAGGCCCAATATGATCTGGCTCTTGCTTTTTCCCTCTTCTCTTATTTTGTACCACTCCCTTCCTCAATTTTTGCACTCTAGTTTCTCTGACCTTTTTTCTATCTTTAAATGGGTTCCTTTGGCCTCAGGGTCATTGCACTTGGCATTTTCTCTTCCTATCATGCAGCTCTTCTAGATCCTCACATATTTGGCCGATTACCCTTCAGGTTTTGGTTCACCTCCCCAGAGAAGGGCTTCCTGACCACTAATCTAAAGCAGTTCCCTCTCCCCACCTGCTCTGAAGAACGTCTTCTCTTTCCCATCACCTTGCTTTATTTCTTTTTTTTTTTTAATAAATTTATTTATTTTTGGCAGCATTGGGTCTTCCTTGCTGTGTGCTGGCTTTCTCTAGCTGCGGCGAGCGGGGTCTACTCTTCGTTGCGGTGCGCGGGCTTCTCGTTGCGGTGGCTTCTCTTGTGGAGCACAGGCCCTAGACACGCAGGCTTCAGTAGTTGTGGCACACAGGCTCATTGCAGACTGTAGAGCGCAGGCTCAGTAGTTGTGGTGCACGGGCTTAGTTGCTCTGCAGTATGTGGGATCTTCCAGGACCAGGGCTTGAACCCATGTTCCCCCTGCATTGGCAGGCGGATTCTTAACCACTGCGCCGCCAGGGAAGGCCTTGCTTTATTTATTAATAGCACTTACCGTGTGGAATAATCTGACTAGTTTTCTTGTTGAGTGTCTGCTTGCACTGAAACAAGCTCTGAGGGCAGGAACCTTGCCTGTCTTTTTC